TACTAGTACTAGTACCACCACCACTAGCACAACGACACGTCCACTAGCACTGCCAATAGCGCCTCTTACCACTTGCCAATTGTCACTACCTTGACCACTGCAGCTACGGCTGCAGCGACGGCTACTGCTTCTGCTGTTGTTGCTGCTGCTGCTGCTGCTGCTGCTGCTACTGTTGTTGCTGCCACTAACCTGTGTAATGTCGTTGTTTTTTTTTTGACGGTCATTTGCTTGATCAACTGGCCTGTCCGTGAGCACACTTTGCGTTTATGCCTCTCTCGGCAGGCGGCACGCATCTCAGCGTGCGAGAAGCGGCTTGAGGGCTTCGAGTCCCAGGCTATCAACATGTCGCGAGCGGTGTTGGTGAGCATGATGGACGTGATGGCATCGACTGTGATGATGATCATGGTGAGGATTGTTTCAATGACTGGTGGTGATGATGATGACGGTTATGGCGGCAGTGATGATGATGAAAATGAAGATGCTGATGCTGATGATGACGATGAAGACAACGATGATTATGATAATGCTGACACTTCTGTTGGTGACAACTATAAGTGACGCTTCATGATGATGGTGATGACGATGATGATGATGATGATGATGATGATGACGGTGATGATGATGATGAGGATGATGATGATGAAGATGATGGCAGCGGTGATGATGCTGCAGCTACTGGGCATGATGAACGGTCATGTTGATGACATCGCTGATGCTGACTGCTAGGGTGTTTATTAATCTCTTGGCGTCAGCCGATGTCTCAGAACATGCCAAACTCTACTTTAGATGCTAAGCAGCCGTAGGATCCTTGCTATGAAAGCTCCGAAAAGCAGGCTGGCTTTTTCCGGAAGCTTGAGGACGAGCTTTCGGCACTTCGCAAGGCGTGAACGTCAATTCGAGATGCTACAACAGCCAAGTAGATTTGAAGTTGGGGGGTGTGCGTTCATTGTTTGAAGATGTAGGAGATAGGAGACTTAGAGGCTGCGGTATATGGATATACGGGGTTCAGGCCTCGGGTACACCGGAGACTTATCGGGTTTCTGGAACCCGTATAGAAGCGTTGTAACACCCTTGTCGAACCAGTACAAGTCATTTAAATATAAAGCACCTTGAGTAATTCGTATTACTCTTCAACTCTGTTGGGTTCCCTGTTGTAAATATAGTATAATATACCCAATACCCTATTCTAATTAATACTCCTATACTCTAGAATCCCCTAGAATCCCTACAGAACCCTTAAAGAGCTCTTCTAAACTACTCAGGCGCACCGGCAAGGACCCTTGTTGTAGAACCCTCTAGGAAGCGGTTTTCTATATGATCTGTCGTGGCCTCTCAACTAGAGCTTTTGTTGCCCCCCTTAAATAAGCCCTATTTCAAATCAGTCTTAAGGCCCTCAACCCTAAACCCTAAACCCTAAACCCTAAACGGTAAACCCCAAACCCTATCGCTGACTCGGGAAGCGCAGGTGATCGATGAGCGTAGCATCGTGGAGACTCAGAGGTTCCAGCAGCTGGAGGGCAAAGCCCAGCAGCCTGGGCCTAGGACTGCGGGTTCGGGTTTAGGGGTTTAGGGTTTAGGGTTTAGGGTTTATAGAGGATTTGGGAAGGGGTCTCCATGTCGGGACTTCTATGGGCATCTGTGAAGAGTTTCTGGGTTTTGGGGGTGTGTTGGGTTTAGGGGTCCTGGTCCGGATTGCCACCGGACTTCATGGGTTTTGTTCAAGAGAGTTTTACAAGGGTTTTGTGGGAGTTGAGGGTTCTGGGTTTGGGGAGTTTAGAAGGTTCGGGGCTGAAGGCTTCGGCGTTTGAGGGTGTAGGGCTCGCAGGGAGCCCAGACGCCCAAAGCCTGAGCGATATTTCTTACTTCATACTCGTATTGGGAAGACCACCTCTTCCAAAAAGACATGGGTGTTCCTGAATTAGTCAGGGGGCCTACCAGCCTCCCTGGGTTCAGGGTAAATACATTAGTTACTGAACCGCTTAAGTCTCTCTGCATTGTCAAGATCGTTTGTGATTGGCACCACAAGTACTAGTCTATGATTCAGGGTTTTTTTTGGTGTTTAAAGTCTGCAGCCCTTCAAGACAGAGCCTGCGACCAGGTCCCACGTCCACGAGACGCAGCTCCAGGACCAGTTGGTGAACCTTCAGGCGCCGGGCAGATCAGCCAAGGCAATGCAAGGGATAGTCAGAACAAAACTCGCAAAACGACTGCTTCTGCAGAGTCAGGAAAAGCAGCGATGCCGGCGTAGACCGCAAGAAGTAAAAAGACCACAGAGAAGACCCGCGGCAGACCGCACGAATCCCACAAGCCGGAGACTGAAACCCTAAACCCAAAAGCTCCAAAACCCCCGGGTCACTAGGCCACAGGGCGGAGCCCGCGAGGCCGAAGAGTTTGGCCCCTTCGAGTAGCCGACACTTGTGGCGACGCACCAAATCGAGAAAACAGAAACAAAAACGAAAACCACACGGAAGGGCCGAGAGGCCGAAAAGAATGGCCTTGCTGGCGCGTTGGCACTTCGAGCCCTTCGCAAAGTTCATATCGACATGGTGCCACAGTATGCGATTTGTTTCATCAGTTTTGAATCCCCGACCTGCGTGGCACGTGCGCCTCCCTGTGGCCTTGGACCCGTGCAATTCTTTCATCCGACATTCCTAAACCGCTTGTGTCACGGAAGAAGGGGCTTATCCCTGCCCTTACCACGCAACCCGAGGCCCGAAATGCCGTCATAGAGATCTGAATAGAAACTAAGTAGTTTGCCCCGAGTGTCCTTGCCTATCTGTACTACAGCATATGCCCAAATCCTGCTGAGATTTTCGCTGTCACTATGCTGTATGACACCCTGCAGTTGCTAGAACACCGTGTAGAACAAATAAATCACAAACAACGCGCTCCTGCAAGAAGCTATCCTTCCCTGAGAGAAACAACCCCTATGGAGAACCATTCTCAACGCTAGACCGTCAACCCTAAAGCCTGTAAACCGGGTAACCGCTACTACCGCTGCAGGCCGAGTTCCAGCAGTTTACTACGCAGACACTGAATCGGCAGCTCGCCGACCACGTAGACATGGAGGGCCAGGCCGGTTTTTGTTTTGGGGGGTTTGGGGAGTTTTTTTGTTTTAAGAGTTCTCATCCTCTTCAGAGGCTCTTGTATTGCGGACATTGGGGTAGCCTCTGGGGGATAGCGCTGAGGAGCTTCAGTTTCTTGTTGGTTCGCCTGGGGTTGTGGTTGGTAGTTAGATGAGATGCAGACATTAGGGTTGAGGATTGAGGGGTTTTGTGGTTGGCCCAGGGTCTGCGTGTAATAGAGGCCTGAGTAGCTCTAGTCAGCACCGTCAGCAGGGTCCACAGCTCGAGTCCTTGTCAACATCTTGCTGCCCGCAGCTATTTGATGTCTTGGCTTGTTCTTACCGGGCTTACCAGCTTAGAATAAGCAAGCCGTAACCCTGCGGATAGACTCTCCTCAAACGTATGTAAATCTCGAAAGGTCTGTCTAAACCAGGGCCTATCCGTATGACTACGGCCTTGCAACCCCTGTAAGTAAGCTCCCGGAAACCATTTATGCAGATCCATAATTTTAAAGCATCTATATATGTATATTATATACAGACACTCGTTCAGCTTGTTTCTGCTAGCACCGACCCTACATAGATCTCCATTAAATTAGCGCCTTACGCCCCACACACACTGTCGAGCTTGTGCAGCGAGGTTTCGACTGCCCTAGCCCGGCAGATCCACTCCACGGAGGTCTACTTCTTTGTTTCAAGTCTCGTTAAGGGTTTGAGGTTTAGGAGTCTGGGGGTTTAGCGCGTAGGGTTCCAGGTGCGGGGACCCCAAACCTTGAACCCCATCAGCTAAACCCAAGACCCCAAAAGCCAGGCCCTAAAACTTAAACTCTGCAGGCCTACAGTCAACTGCAAGGGTTCACGGGGCTTAAGGTTACCGGTTTCTGAAGCCTGTCTAAGCCTCCTAAGACACGAAAGTACAGTAACCAAAAGCAACTGCGATTGAGTGTTCAGCTGGACCGTACAAAGCCTAAAGCCCAAGCTCCCCGTTTCTCTTCTGCGATGCACAGGTCTGCTGTTTGTGGCAGTGGTGCGTGGTTTCTCTGAATGGCATGCGCTAAAAGCTCTTAGTTCAATGTCAAGTCTCCTAGACCGGAACCGCTAGGAGTGGCGCTTGGCCATCAAACACAAGGATGTCGAGCTCTCAGCGCTACTTGTGTCGGCCCAAACCTTTGCAAAGTTGCAGTTTCAGATTGGGCGCTACCGGTTTGGATCACGGTTTTGGGGTTTGGGTATCAGGGAATGCCAAACTCACATCCCTGAAATCCTAGGCACAAAATCGTTTCTTCCAACTCAAACTCTGGAAGCTCGATATGGGATTTCCCTGTCGTTTTTTCCCGGTATGAAGATTGAGCGTCGTTTTCGGAGGAGCCTTCTTGGAACCGTTTCGTTGGTAGCACAGTTCTTGTTTGTGGCCTTTCACGACGGTGATGAACATGTCGGGCTCTGGAACAAGCGGTAAGGAACAAAGGCTCACGGTTTTTGTGACCCTGACTCGCGGTGACGCATTGCTTAAACGCCGCAGGCGCAGGTTCAATCTGACCTGGAAATGCTGAATGCTTCGCTGGAGGATCTTGGCATGCACTTCATAGCCTCTACTCCCACAAACCCGAAACCCTTAGCACGCATCCTGAGCCTAAGTTCAAGTGACCCAGATATGGGAGTCCTAAGGACATGCGGGAGAAGCTGCTCACTTCTCAGGCCTGATCTGTCTTGGATAAACGAGGCTCTGAAGCTCTTTTTGTGGGTGGCGGAGGGAGGGGGAAACGGCCTAGTTTGGGGGAGCGGGCCTCGCAGGGCAATCAAGGTTTCTAAGATCTATGGGCCTATGAGGTCTTGTATTTTGTATGCTTTCGGCTTAGATGTTCGTGCTTCGCAGTTGAGGGGCTTCGTTAGAGCTTTTGGCTTTCGGGAGTTCAGACTGCAGGGTTGAAGTTCCGTTGCAACCTTGTATCCCTTGGTTTGAATTAGGCCTTTAGGGTTTAGGGTCCCCAGTTTAGGATTACAGAAGAAGTAAATCATGCGTATCTTCCCACATCACAACAGTCCCCTCTTTGGGGTTTAGGCCTTTTAGGGTTTATTTATTGTCACATTGTTTAGGGCTATCGCGGCGGCAAGGAAAGCTCGAAAGCCCGAACGCCAATGACGGATCTAGGCGGAGCTTCGCGTGCGGCTGACGGCCCTGGAAGTCCCTACGAAGGTCCGTTGCCGGCTGAGGGTCTTCTTTGGGGCTAGGGCTATCTGGTGGGGGCTTCATTGGGGAATAATGTTGTAGGTTTTTTGGGTATATTTTCTGGGACTAAAGTTTCGTCGCACTTGCCTGTATGGGATCATGCCAGGACGCGGCATACCTAAAAGTGCATTTTAGGTGGCCTGGCTAGCGGAGGAATTATTCCACGGGAATGAATTCATACTACTACTATGATGTTCCGGACGGAGGGCTGTGGTGGAGGAGTCCAAGGCGAATGGGGTTCTTGCAGGGTGTTCAAGGCCAACATGCAGAGTAAGACGAACTTTCATCCTGCCGCAGTAAAGGCTGAGGGGCTGCACGGGGTGAGTTCTTTATTTGCGGTTCTGCAAGGTCTCTAGAAAATTAAGGGGTAATTGTGGTTTATGGTCTGATGGACAAACCCCATTACGTAAGGGTCATGCAGGTGCATATGAGCTAGGAGGCATGGTTTGTTTGTCTGTCTTGTTCTGCGTGAGGATTTCAAGACTAGTTCAAGCCTTTGGGCCAGGTTATCGGGATGAATTATAGGAGCCCAAGAATTTCAACAGCCCTTTCCGCTGTATTATGGCGCGGTACAGTTATGCAGCGAGAACAAAGGGACATTACTAGAGTTGAGTTGAGGTTTTGGCTTTTGCGTGGCTGCTTGGGTTCACCAGCGAGTGCAGGCTTACCAGGCTTTGGGTTTGCAAGACGCGAAAACAAGCGCAATCCCGCGCCCAGCGTGAAGCATCACACCCCAAAACGCTTAAAACCCGATAGACAACCTTATGACACCCTAAACCCTGTGCAGACTCTGTTGAACCGAAAGCTGCAAACCCCAAGTTGCCTTCTTTCACAGTCAAACGCATGCGAAGAAACATGCTATGGACAAGCAAGAGCCTTAGAGCCCGAAACTCCGAAACCATTAACAATTTACGTATTCCTTAAGACTGTTGGGCTTTGTAGAGTTTCGTGGGGGTCTTGTTCCCATTCATTATAGCTTACTCCCAAGCCATATCCGTTTTCTTCAGGCCCCGATCTTACAAAGAGCTACCCGATGGCTTTAGTATGGTTTAGTAGGAAACTTGTTGGCTTAGAGATAGAAGTTTCATCCCGCATCCTGAATGCTGAAATGAATGTTTTACCCTGCTCCAGCGGTGTGAGCTCCTGGCTTAACCCTATTCCAACTGGGGCTCCTGCGCTACACCCTTGTAGTAGCTCGGAGAAATCAGATGCAAGCTTTCCCCCCCTCTCCCAGCAAAAAGCGGAAGCCCCAGAATGTTCGAGATTTTACAATCCGAACCCCTCACTCGGACGAAACTCTTATAAGCCCCTGTAAGCACAATGTCCAAACCGTCGAAGACTTGAGGCGTCGGCATACTAAACCCTTTGAACATTATTGTTATATAGCCTTAATTCTTAGGGCGCTTGAGACGGTTCATAAACCTAAACCAACCCCCGCAAAACCTTACAACACGCTTAGGCAACGCCTGGAATCCTGCATGCAACACCATATATAAGAACGTACAGGCCCTAGAGACCCCCTTCATAAGACCCATACAAAATCCTCTTCAAGCCTGTAAAACCCTCTAAGACCCTAAGCCGAGAAGCCTGAATAGTGCCACTTGAAGACGTCTCCAGGCCGACGGCCTCAGCCGCTCAGTGGATCTCGGTGACGGTTTTACAGCCCAGGAGCGCCAAGAGTTGGTAATTTGGTTTGTTTTGTCTAGGGGCTTTGGGCTTAGAGTTTGAGGGTTTAGGGCTCATAGAGTTTGGGGTTTAGGTCTCGGGATTTAAAGAACCAAGTTTTGGAGTTTGGGGGTCCGATATAGACGGTATTTGCACGCTGTGTTCACGGCTTAGAGTCAGCTAGTGAAGTTTGGATTCGAGGGTCCCTGAAACCGCGCTGAATAATTAGTCACAGGTCAAGGCTTCGGTAACAAGCCCGCAACCGAAAACGTGACGGCCAGCAATGAAACTATGTCTTTGTCGTTGACTACTATTGGTGTTCTTATGTCGTTATCATTGGGGATCCCTGTGTAGTTTTCCATGTGAAAACGTAGGTAAATAATTAAAAAAATATACAAGCAAATAAGTGTGTATACACATATTTGATAACTATTGTAAACACATTATTATTGTAAACAAATACACGAGTGTGTGTATATGTGTATACACACACAAACGGGAGGAGGAGACGCAAGCAATGCTAGCAATACAGGACGGTGACACCGGTGACCGGAATGCATAGTGTGTTTCGTTTTGCTGTGATGGCTGCCATTTTCGTTTGTTGGCCTTCGCGCAGCGGACGAGGAGATCGACTTCCTGAAGCAGCACCTGAGCAGATTGCAGCAAGGCGTGTGACCCGCGGACATCAACTAATTCCGTCTTGAGTGTTGGGGTATGCATTCAGTGTGTCCGTGATACAAGTCTTGGAGCTTCTGCTGCATGTAACGTCTGAACAAACGAGTCGGAGGTCTCTCTTCTTTCTCGTTTCTTGCCTTATAGCATACACCCCCCCCCTACCCCCCCCTTACCCCCTACCCGCACCGACGGAGCCCACAGCAACCCTGCAGGCTCGGTGCAGAGCGGAGCCGCCCTGTCAGAGATGCAGGCCCGGTTGGAAGGCGAGACCGATGCAGTCATGTACAGACATCGAATTCGAAGATGCTTCAAAGGGTAGTATAAGTGTTACCATGAGGGGACCTAAGGGTAATGATCTCAGACATGTCTGAAGGTATACTTCTCAGAGGCTCCACAAGCCTTGCGTCAGAGTTGCTTTCCGCTCCTTCCGTTGTAAGGGCTCCTTCGGGAAGGAGTTTTGGAGATGCCGGAGTTTAGGGTTCAGGGCTCGAGCTTAGGTCAGGGATCATAACTCGGTCTAGGCTTGCGGGTTTAAGGGTTTAGGGTTTCAGCAACAAGACTCGTAAGGCACACCAATAAGTCATCGGAGGCAGGTCGCCTTTTTCTGCCCATGTTCTTCAGCCCAGGCCTATTCAATACTCCAAGTTGCCCTTAAGCCTGTACAACCATGTAAACCTTGCCGAAAAAAGCCAGACAAGAGCCTGTAAACCATGTGAGGCCTCAAAAGAAGCCGTGACCCGGACTGCCATGCCTGAGCAGGTGAGAGTGCAACACGCGCTGCAGCCTGGAGCTCAGGTTCATGGCGTTTGGACCTGGGAGTTTTTCCCGAAAGCATCGCGAATGGTTCT